ACCCCTTCCCCCTTTCTCCCCACCTCTCCTTGTTTTGTCTGTCACTTCACCCACGTGGTCGAGGTTCCTTCTCATGGCCCCTCCCCCCTCTTGCTTTTCTAGGTCAATGCTAAACTTCATCGTGTGACGGACGTGCAGGACCCCAAGCCTGGCATTCAAGGAAAGCGCATTTCATTTTCCTCTATTTATTTGTGACTGGCTTGAACCACGTTTGGTTTTGACAGGGTAAAGGAAAATGTGGGCGAAATCTAGGCGTGTTTAGCATACTAAAATGTCCGCCGCCGCCCGACTTTAGGCTCCTAACACTTATATACGCAGTTTGCCTTGCATCCTTGCATACTTTGTCGGTTACGAAGAATAAATACTCTGAATTCTCCGGAGCCTCTAATTCATTTTCTTTGCATGCTTGCGAAGCAAACGCTTTGGCTTCGCAGTCTTACAACTGTGTACTTGGAAAGTCCAGTTCTCCAAATAAGCAGAAAATTGTCGTTCTGAGAACACCTTGGCCTTTGTTGAATGGATAAAAGCTTCGACCAATTTAAGTCTTGAGAAACCGTTTTTCTGAGCTGGCTGGTCCTCTTGCTATCGTGCATGTCCCATGACGGCGTATAGCTATAGATTTTCCTAGGAGGAGAAGAGATGATGCAGAAGGGTTGTGAGCCTCTCACAGTGCCCTTTAGGGCTTGTGGACGGTCCCCCAGGCGAAGGGGGGGAGTGGAGGGGGAGGTGTGAAGTAAAGTGCTGCGGCCCCGGTCAGGCTGAGCCCAGTGCGGTCCACGGCGCCGAGTGCTGGTCGTTGAGGCTCCGGCTCCTCTGGCCAGGCGCTGTTTTAGGTCCAGCTAATGGGGAGGAGGGGCTTGTTCAGTGGTTCAGTGAATTGCCTACCTCTCGGGCGGCTTCTTACGTCTGATAGAAAAGAGGCTTGCCTCTGGCGAGCAATCGGAAAGTGCAGCTTTGTAAATTAAACAAATTAACTTTACCATGCCGCTCGCCGCTTTCTTTGCCCGCCTTCGCCTTAACTGACTCTCACACCCCCCACCGCCTACACTAATTGGATGTGTATCTTTTATTTGTCCAAATTTAAGCAACCAAGTATTTTTCACTCATTTCTGCGTTGATTTGAACACTTTTGTACATTATTTTGTACGAAAATCGTGCATTTTTGAGCATAAATTTGTCCGAAATAAGATGTAGGTTAACTTAGCTCGAGCGTTTGCACAAAAACATAACAAATACATTTGGCGTGTGAGCTGCCCCCCATCCTCTTGATCAGCTTCAGCTGGCGCGTGGAGGGCGTTGCACCTCTACGTGTACTCGCCCCACCCGACGCCGACGCCGCAAAAGCTCCAGGGCTAAGTGGTTTATGACGCCTCCGGGGCCTCGTCTAGTTCCGACGAAAATGAGTTCGTCGACCTCCTCACGACCTCTGCGCGTGGTCCTTGTGGGGGTCGGTGGCCACCTGCTACGCCGGGAGGCAGGAGAGGTGGGACGTCCATAGCACACGGCCATTTGGCGTAGCTATCTCAGCCCGGCTGCTGCGCGCCGCGGCGTGCCTGCCCGTGCACGGACAACGCCGTGCAGTCGTCGTCCCTTCCTCCACAGCCGAATCTC